ACGCGGACCCCTGCAGGGACCCGCCCTGAGGACGCCTGGGCCACGAGATCCGCGTCCTTCCCCGGCAGACGCGCGCTCGGCCTCGTGCCCTGTTACACCTGGGAGACAACCACATGGAACTGACGACTCCGCACGCGCCACGGCAGGCACACCTGCCAGGGTTCCCTTGTCCCGGCTACGCGCATCTCCAAGCCCCGCCCCACCCGCACCTGCATACCGGCACAGTCACGTGGTCACACCCCAGGTGCACCCACTCCCCGCTTTAAAACGGGAAGGGGAACCGAGATGGGGAACGGGAGGGAAGGAAAGGAAAAGGAATTGAAAGAAAAAAATGAAAAGTGAGCTTTTGTAAATGGGGAGTGGAAGAAGAGTTGGGGGGAAGGGGACAAAAAATAAGATGTGTTATGTACATATACAGATGCTACACGATGAATGGGGTCGTTACATACTGCAAAATTGTACTAAGAGAAAAGAAAAGAAAAAAGAAAGTTATTGTTTGGAGGCAATAGAAGGGATGGTTTTCACCTGTCCCTTGGCTCCAGGACAAAGTCGGAGCTCCAGAAATCTCATGTACGTGGACTGCGGGAATTTTTTTTATACTCTAGTTTTAAATTCAGACATTTTTATGTTGACTTGATTGTGCTTTGAACAGATGTGCAATTCCTGAAGAAATCAAAAAGATCAGATTTATCAACCACAACTTTTTAAAAAAAATTTTAAAGAGCTCCCCCCCACCCCCCCGTGCCGGGGATCAAACTCAGGACCTTGCACTTGCGAGGCAGGCGGTGGAACCACTGAGCTAAATTCCCGGCCCTGTCAACTACAACTTTGATAAAGTTCTGTCTTGGGCACTTTGTGATTAAATTAAAACGTACAGAAACCTTGTCTAGCACATATTTCTATCATTAGCATTTTAAAGGGTAGCAGTAACCTTAGCTTTTCAAAGGAAAAGAGTGCTTCTATTTTTATTGCATTTTTTCTTTTCTGAGGGAAGATGATCATGCCAGCACAGAAGTCAAATAGATAAGTCAGTAATTCTTCTGAAAAAAAGCTGGGCTTGGTATTGCACACCTGTGATTCCAGCACTCCTACCTCATGAATTCAAGGCCAGCCTGAACTACATAGACCCTGTCTCAAAACAAACAAAAAAATATTTTTTCTGATAAAGGAAAATGAAAGGCGGTGGTCAGTTGAGGCTGGGAAAGTTTGATTCAACAGAGATCCAGATCTGTGAAATCTTCGATCTAACTGTAAAAAAAACAAAAACAAAAAGCTCAGTTTTTAAGTACAGTGGTACTTTGGTTTCCGAACTTAATTTGTTCCATGATTCTGGGGAAGATGACTGAGGTATTTGTCACCCGATACAAAGTTCATGGAAGGAAGCAAAGTTTTGCCAAAAGCTTTTGTTTGTTCGTGAACCGGGGCATTATTCATTTTTGGAATGTGCGCGCGATCCAACATCATCTGGGTAGTGAAGAAAGCGCTAAGCCAGTGACTCTTGGGGTGGGACACAGCGAGGAACACTGTAACAAGGGGTGCTAATGCGGGTTCTGGATAAAGTTTGAGAGCTGGGTCTCCCAAGCATTTATTTCTGTTTCTGAGACGTCGATGCACATGTAAATCCTCGAAGGATCTTGTTTCACAGTGCAGGTTCTGGTCTGACTATCCAAGGAGAGGGTGTAAGATTGTACAGGTCCACAGCACTTGGTGAGGATTTACTTACCTGTGGATCCAGTATGAAGACAGCTGCTCAGCAAGGACGAGCCTGGGGAGCTCCCAGATAAATAAGGCACAGACGGAGCTGGGGGCCGAGTACCTATAATTCTAGGTACCTTGGGAGGCTGAGGCAGAAATGTCCCAAGTCTGAGCCCAGCTAGGGCAACTTGGTGAGTCCCTATCCCACGCAGAAGATGTAGCTTGTATTACAGCCATTGCATAGTGTGTGGGAGACTCTGGGTTCAAGCACCAAATAGGTTGTGGAGACCACAAAATTTCTCAAGGAAATGGTCAGTCTAGGTAAATCCTTGGCTTTCCAGTTTGGGGTTGGAGGGTGGCCCCTGGCAAGCCCTCTGCCCTGGGGGATTCTGGGAACTGGGCTGACTCTCCAAGTCTGTTAGGCTGCGTACAAGACAGCTGAGACAGTCCCTGCAAAGTATTCTCACCACTGAGCTGTTTTCCTGTTTTTCTTGGTCCATTTCTTCTACCATTTTACAACCTGCCACTCCCTTCAGGCCACCATCAGAGCACCATACATATGTTCAAAGAAAGTATCGCAAACAGTTTGCTTTTCAGCACCAAGGGTTGAAATGAGCAAAATGGGACTGGGCATGTGGCTCAGCGTAGAGCACTTGCCTAGCACTCAGACAACAAAGAACACTACCTCATGTCTTTTTCCAGAATTACCCTGGCTGGCTATGTTATCACCTAACTTCTTGTAAGTTCTACTGTCTCAGAACATTTCTTGCTGTACTAACTGAAGACCCGAGACTAAGTACTTTGTGAAGAACAGAAATTTCTTTCTCAAAGTTCTGGAGGCTGGAGGTGGTGTCCAAGAGGGCAGTGTGGCAGGTTTTGGTGTCTGGTGAGGTGGCACCTTGGATGCTGTCTCCTTCCATGGTAGAAAAGAGAAGGAGGAACAAAAAGAGAACACAGACTCACATGATCCTCTCTGTAAGCATCAAACCTGCCCATGAGGGTGGAGCCCTGACCCCTGCCGGCCTAATCACTGGGGGGTGGGGATTGGGGATTGAACCCAGGGCTTCCACACTGAGCAACATTCCTACCCCCTTTTTTATTTTTACATTTTGAGACAGGGCTTGCTAAGTTGCTAAGTTCTCTGGGCTGGATGTACACTTTCTGGATCCTCCTGCCTCAGCCTCCCAGAGGGCTGGGATTACAGTCATATGACCCCTTGCCCAGCTGACCTAATCTCTCCTTACAGCCCCATCTCTCAACACTGCTACCCTGGCAATTGACCTCCAGTGTGACTTGTGGAGGTGAAAAGTATTTCAGACCTGGGTGTAAGAAACTAATTTATATTTATATTTGACTAAACACACAGCTACTTAATACCAAGCAGATGAGGAGGCACAGTTCATCTCCTTGTTACCCCTCGTGCTGCCTCCAGCACTGCACGTCACACAGTGGAAGGGAAATTCTTCTGCACCTGGGGGAACCATGGTTCAAACAGAGAAAGGAAAGGCCATAAAATAATTTGTGGCCCTAACTAGCCTGCAGCCTACTTCTAACCCACCATTGGTATTTGTAGTCCTCTCAAAAGAAAATTAATAATTGATGAAATTCAAAACACAGGGCTATAAACAACGTTTTCCAGAAACACAGCCACACCAATCTGTTTCCAGATTCTTTACAGTTTCTTTCTCCCAATAGTGACAGAGATGAGTATCTGCCACCGTGACTGTATGGCCTGAAAGCCGAAAGCATTTGTTATGTGCCATTTTACAAACTTTGCCTATAACACCAGTGTTTGTCTGTCTGTCTTGCTTTCTCTTTTGGAACAAGGTCTCACTGTATAATTTGGACTGACCTTGAACTCACTATGTACCCTGGGCTGGCCTTGCAGTGATCCTTCTGCCTCAGCCTCCTGATGGCTGCACCATGATGACTGACCCCAGCTTCTTTTTAATGCCTGTCTCTCCTTTCTTTTTCTTCTTTTTTTTTCCTTTGGTACTGGGGATCGAACTCAGGCCCTTGCGCTTGTGAGGCAGGTGGTCTCTCCTTTCTGTAAGGAGTGAATTTGTAGGATAGTCCCCTATGATCCGAGAG